TAACATTTTTCCTTAAATAAAATTAACTTAATACATTAAGTAGCTAAGAGTTGTTTAGTATTTTCATTACTTTTTCATTAACAAATTTCTGCTAATTAGTTTCCAAAAATGAAAAAAATAAAACACATTGAAAAATAAAATTATTGAAAAATTTTCAATATTTCAAGAGAAATTATCTAATAGACTAATAGCGGAGTTTTTTTTAATTCCATAAACTTTGGTTAACAATACTTTTTAAGTATTTGGTATCATTTTTAATATCATCGTGGATTGTAATCACCAAGGTGATTTTATAACTTGTGAATCGAAATCATTTTTTTTATTAATGATCATTTGATTCATACAAATTAAAGATTACTGTATTTGATATTATTAAAAATAAAATATTATTTTATTAAAAATATGAAAATAACTATCCTTATTATAATAATAATACAAGTTAATGACTTAAATGTTGTTTAAAGGTAATAATTTATAAAATACAGTAACATTTTATTTATTTTATAATAAATATAATTAAATTATTAAATATATTTATTTATTAAGTAAACTAATTTTTATAATATAAATTATTTAAAAAACATTTGAATTAGAAAATAAAACTAACCTATTAAAATCATAATAAAAATAAAGATATTATATTATATATAAAATATTAGAAAAATAAAAAATTACACAAATTATTTTTGAATTTGTTATAATAAATATTTGTTTGAAAATATAAAAATTTATAATATAAAAAAATTACAATTTTAAGAGAAATCAAATTTTTAATTCACATAATAAATTAGTAATATTGATTATTATTAATTCTACATATCACTTCATCTTGGTAATAAAAATTTCTCACCTTTTTGGATAAGAATCATATTACTCTTCAAGACAATAATCTGATTATTCTCAGTGATCCAAGATCACGTAAGATCATCAAGTATTTACTAAACACGATAATCTAATCACCATGTATAAAATATTATAATTTTTGAAGTGATCATTTCATACCAAATATTATTTTAGTATATATTTAAAAAATTAAAAATTACTTTTTTAAAAATTTGGGATAAGGATCATTCTATTAAATCTCTTTTGTCGAGTTAAAAAACTTTACTGATAGTGTATCGAATATTTTCTTCATTTTCAATGGATTATCGAACACACCTAAGTGTAAGTTTAAGCTTGACTAGAATTTTCAAGTTGACTACTCTAATATCATCATAGACTTATCTTTATTGAAAATCACAACTAGACAACTTATGCATTACCGGATTTACAAGTAGACAAGCTTAAAATTTTAGTTCACGAGATACCAATTTGACAATTAACTCTTTAAGCTTGCAAGTGATCAAGCTTGACAACTTAGGCACTACTGAATTTACAAGTAAACAAGCTTGAAAGCTTAGTTTGCAAGATGCCAACTTACCAATTAAGTCTCTAAGCTTGCAAGTTGTCAAGCTTTGACAACATAAGTTTTAGGCTTGAAAGGTGCCGAGCTTGATAACTAAAGCTTTACCGAATTTTCAAGTAGGTAAGCCTCAACTCTATGCTTTGCCAGTAAGCAACCTTGACAACTAAATTCCTAAGCTTGCAAGTTGTTAAGCTTAACAGCCTGAGTCGGAGTCTGAAATGTGCCAAGGGTTGATAACTAAAGCCTTACCATATTTTTTATGTAGGCAAGCCTGATCCAAGCTTTGCAAGTCATCAAGCTTGACAACTAAGTTCCTACGCTTGCAAGTTGTCAAGCTTGATAACTTGAGTCTTAAGCTTAAAAGGAGTCAGGCTTGATAGCTTAAATCTCGCCAAATTTACAAGCAAGCCTAGAAATAGGAACTTAATTCGATTTTTATAAATTATAATACATGAAAAGTTTACCCGAGTTAAACCCACAAAAAATGCTAAGAAGACCTAATGCTCAAGTTGGTGATACTTCACCAGTTTTGGTATCAAATAACCAAGGAAAACTCTACAAGTTCAAGTTCGGCTTGAGAAAAGATGAAGACAATAAAAGCCAAGGCAAGCTAGGAGAGTTAAGCTTGAGAACTTCAAGCTTTAAACCTCACCACATTAGTTGAATGTCAAGTATGATAAATTAAGAATTTTACTCTTCTTGTATTTCTTGCCTTCGAAGGTCTTAAATTTTAGGAGATCATCGACGTTATCAACCCATGTTGAACAGTTTCAGAATTTTTCAAAATAATAGAATGGTGCCCAACACGTGACAAGACTTGAGAAGAGCTATAAATACAAATTTTGGAAAAGAAGCATGGATTGAGAAACTATAAATCAAATACTTTACCTTCATTTACACTTATTTAGTTTTTTCCTAGTTTTCTAAGCTTTAGCTTCTTTTTTTTTTTTTTTTTCGGACGTAAGCATTAGCTTAATTTTTAGGTTTTTGCTTTTTATAGTTTCAACCTTCAAACTTGCAATTTCCTTCTCTAACTGTTTCTCAACCTAAGGTCCTTTGATCATTGTTAGATTGCATAGCTTGTACTCAAAATTTGTATAAACATGAAAAATTTTATTTGAACAATATGTTACATTGCACAAAAGATAAATTAGATCATTAATCACTCATCTATAGTTATGTTTTTAAAATGATCATTAAATTATTAAAAATTTTAATTTAATCACTAAAATTTGTGTAAATAATTTTTTAGTTATCCAACCGTTAGTCTCTAACAATACACTGACGTTGTATTACCACATTTTCTGTCATGTGTTATATGGCATTATCATGTCAACCAAATTTTTTTTATCAAAATTTATAATGCCACATCAATAATGTTATTTGGTATATTGAGTGATATGACATTGCTATGTGGCAATGCTACATTATTTATATTATAATTGTTATGTCAGTTCATTATTATAGAATAACGATTGAATGAAAAAAAAATACTTATTCAAAGTTTAGTGACTAAATTAAAATTTTAATAATTATGTGATCATTTTAAAAGTACAACCATAATTAAGTGATCAATTATGTATTTTGCCCAATTTTAAATAAATATGTTGTAATTTTACTCTTTACTTTTAAAGAATCAAAAAGTAAGTAATTCTATGTGTTCAAGATGCAACAAAAACATTGAAACACTTGCCATTGTCTCAGAGACTATGTTGTCATTAAAGCCTTTTGTGATTAAAGCCTTTTGGGATGCTTTGACAATTCCCCTAAAAATCCTCCCATCTTTTAACATGGAGTTTGATAGCTGGCTGTCTATCAAATAAATCAGTGGCTGATTCTGTCATTTCTCATATCCCTTGGAAGGTGCCATTTGGTTATATGGTTTGGGAAGAAACGAACTGATATTCTATGGTACTTCTGAATCCATCATTAGGTGAATGAGTAATCTCTAAAATCATATTAAGAAGTTCTTGATTATTAATGGTCCGAATAATCTTCTTAAAAATCCATGTCAAATTAACGTTGGTTGGCAGCCTCCGCCACAAAGTTTCATCAAACTCAAAGCGGATGGCCCTATTAAAGGCAACCTTGATAAAGCAGGGGCAGGTGAAATTTTTAGAGATATCTTGAAAATTAAGATTTGTGGTTTCGTTCGCAATCTGGGATCCATATCCAATGTTTGCGCGGAGCTTTGGGGACTTAAAGATGGTCTCCGCATTTCAAAAACTTGATTGTGGAAATCGACTCACAAATTGTGTTAAGGTTTATTTTGCACGGTTTTCCTCCCTTCCTCTCATGCTTACTGCTCTAATGCTGATGATTGCAGATCGTTGCTGGGATACACTCCGAACCTATCAAGCATGGACACAGACACGTAATATAGATATAACACCGCATAAATACAATGACACAATAATTTCTAAAATGTGAGGACACTTATATGGCAGGACATAATAATAAAAATATTTTTTATATATTATAATCATCACAAATTCGACATGTATTTTGACGTGTTGTAATGAATACAACACCGATACGTGAAATGTTCAGAAATGTCTGTACTTCATAGTTCAGAATGTTAGGATGCAACACAACTTCATGGAGGTTAACTCTTGTGTTGACCGATTAGATAAGATGGGTTCCTCCATTGACTCGTCTTTTTTGTTATTTGAGGAGCCGCCTGATTTGTTGTCTACTTATTTCCTTTCGTACGCTATGAGGAATCATGTTTATCATAACTCTTTTGTTGTAATCCCTTGTTGGGGTTTTTTTTAATACACTTTATTGATGGTGTCGGTAGGATGAGTAGCGATTTGGAGGTCGTGTGAAGGATAGTCTGAATTTATAGCAAGAAAACATGATCAAGGGACACCAAAATTGGTTCTACTTGACGTGCTTGAATACTCAAGTCAATCAAGATATGGGGTTTTTGTGAGCAAGAAAGCAACTTGTTAAATGTATTTAAAAAGCTTAAAGGAGAAAATTTTTAGTTCATGTCGTACTTAGAATTCATTTTTATCTTATATACAAAAAAAAAATGTGATGATATAATTAAAATAATTAATAATTGATAAAAAATTTATATAAAACTCTAAAAAGGGTCAAATGAGTTAGTATGAATTATATTTAATAATTTCATGCAAACATAAATTACATTTAATAATTCAAATAAATTAAAAATTAATTGATTTGTTATGAGATAATATGAAATATTAGTGGAGATAATTGGATTAGTCTCTCCTTTGGTGAGGGACGAACTCGCTTTATGGCGAACAATTTAAATATCGACGCTCTTTGTAATGATGTGACAATTGAGCCTGCACTTATTTGACATAAGGGGAAAATATCGTTCTTGTCCGTCGTCCCCGTGGAGTTAGTAAGCTGCTTTCTGTTGAGCAGGAGGAGCACCAAGCTTAAGAAGAGACTTGGGAAATGAATATGATACTGAATTGGACGGATTGGGGAGGGGGCGTTGGGCTAGACACTGACTCCACAATGGCCCAAAATTTTATTCAAATTGCATGGCTTAAACGTTGATTGCGATTTGATTTTCACATAATAATCTAATCTCATGAGAATAAACTTTTGATGCCCGTCACTATCAGTCGAATAACATACCAATGCGGTGTTCGTCAAAATATCAACCACCAATAAGGGACAGGTCCGCAAATCCACAGCACACCCTAATCCCCAATCCTTTTCTTCAAATACAGAACGAATTCTCAAGCAAAACTCAAACTGAGAAAAATAAATAAATAAATAAAAGAAGGAAATGGCGAGGGCTCTGAGGTTGAAGATCACGATGATAAACCTGCTGTGTTTGCTGGTAATCTGCGGGGCAATCGAATCGCCGCAGTACGAGGTGGTACATGCTGAATCCGATTTCGAAATCAGACTCTACCGAAACGCCACGTGGATGTCTGCAACCGTCAACGACCTTTCCTTCCAAAAAGCCACCTTATTTGGCTTTCACAGGTAGGCACATCACAGGCAACTAAACAGGAACACCCTCCTTTAAATTTAACAAAATTATTATTATTTCTGTGCATATTAATACTAGTAAGATGGTTTTTTTTTTTTTTTCTGTTTCATAGATTATTCCAGTTTACACAAGGTGCGAATCTGAATTATTCTCGGGTAGCCATGACGTCTCCCGTGGTGACAAGCCTAGTCCCAGGAGCTGGGCCACTGCACTCATCAGCCTATGTGGTCCGATTTTATTTGCCTGCTAAGTTCCAGCACAGTTTACCAACGCCACTTCCGGAACTGAACCTGGAACCTTACACATGGGAATCTCACTATGTTGTTGCCAGGAAGTTTTCAGGATTTGCTACGGATGATAGCGTGCTCAAAGAGGCTGTGGAGCTGGCTAGTAGTTTGAGCCTGTCTCCATGGGCCAACGCTACTATTGCTACTGACTACGCTTATTCTATTGCCCAGTATGATCCACCCTTCCAGTTTATTGGTAGGGTCAATGAAGTGTGGGTGGATGTTAATGCTTCTGTGTTTGTTGGCTATGCTGGAAAAGCAACGTTTTGAAAATTATTGACGAATCAAAACAAGGATAGCTTCTTGGGTGTTTTCTGCTTGTGTGTGGAAGTGAAACTAGAATCAAACACTATCATATTATCATGTTGTATTCAGTTTTTCTTATGTGTGAAATTTCTGATGTAATTGTATGCTAAAAATATCAATAAAATGCAATTAGTAGCATACGTTTTAGTAGTAAATTCTCTCCCCTCATCATTGCCATCCTCTTTGTCAGCCTAATGAACCCTATTCTTTTGCCCAGTCGGAGGCTACGTGTAGGGGAAAGTTTCTACTGCGCTGCTGTGTGTTTGTAGTGAATCAGACATAAGTCATTGGTATAACCTAAGCTTCCCGAGAAAAAAAGTTCCAATATAACATCAACTCAGGATGGTAAAAGTAGTCAAAAGCTGAAAGAGAAAAGAAAAGGAACTTGAACCTTAAAAATAAAGCAATATAAGAATTTATAGAATCCAAAATTGTTTAAACAAAACGTCAGAATCTTTTACAACTTATACAGAAGTTTTTTCAAAGAATTTTCTAACCTAACAAATGAATGAATTAGTTTTGGTTGTACAATCATACTAACTAGGCCAATTACTTAAATGCTGTGTCCAAAATCAATTTGGTCTGCGTCTTGGATGAACATAAGATGGCAAAGATACCCCAACATCGGAAACCTTCCTGCCCAGTATAGACAGCTTGATTTGGCTGCAATACACAACAAACAAAAGGGAGAGCAGTAGAACAAAAAGGAAAACAAGGGATGAGAATGTCCTCATGTTTTTTATAGTTGAAATGCTGGCAAGAGCTTCAGTAGCAGCTAGCTGATGGACTAGTGCAGCTCCTAATGTCCACGAAAGGTCACCTGGGCCGAACACTATCTCTGCATTGCCAAGGCATAAAGCATCTTCAATAAGTGATGCCACATAAAACACCTGGAAACAATAATGTCCAGCATACTTTTGTCTTTGGAAATCGATGCTCAACTCATTCAATGATCTTGAACATAACTGTTCACCCTTCTTCCAAATCTCTGTCACACTTGCTCTTGGAGGTAAGTTTAACATGTCGTAAACAACAAAAAACCCAGATAAAGCATGAAAGCATCCACTATAATGGGCAACAGATGTCAAATTTAGCATATTGCTACCTGCAGAATGTTTAAAGATTGTTATAGGTGCATAAAGTCCCTCCCAAGAGTAGGGAAAGATATTCTAAGAGAATAAGCAATATTTATCAAGATCTATTACGTGGTGAAAAAATCAAACTGAACCAAGGAAAACACATAATAAGCATTTTAATAAAAGATAAGAATTGCTTGGTTAAAGCATGAAAATCTCAAAAGGCATATCTTTTTCATTAGCTTACCTAGCAGTATCTGAGAGTATGTTAAAGAGCTTTCAAAAAGGCATAAATAGTGAGATAAAATCATAGTATTTCAAATGAACATAACCTGAAGAACAGTCAGAATAGTAAGCCAATAATTTATCCGCCAGTGAGATTAACCAATCAGTAATGCTGGCAATTACTACAGTAGCAGCAGCTGTGAATTGTGACCATGATTATGATCATATATATACTACCAACAGTTTTAATATAGAGTTAAGGACAGGTTAAATCTGCTGCCATCAATTATCAAGATTTAGAAGTGGCTGATTGCATATTGCTATCTACATCCATAAGCGATCAGTGCCCTTTTCTTTGGCACACAGGGAAACAGTTCAGAAACAGTTTAAGTACAAGGCCATTATTTGCCAATGACCATTGCACAAAATGATTCAAGCATATTTTTCCAGAAATTTCCCGAGCATTGCCCGATTAATAACCCCCAACTAGTTACATATAACAAGTTCACTTCATAAGATGAACATGAACTAGGAGTTTAATCACATGTTATATGAAATCAACATATTATCCTTCAAAGAAAAAACAAACTCTTATTCAGTAGACCTGCTTTACGTGGGAACAGTAGCCAGTAGGTTGGATCTATGAAACAAATATCAAACATGTTATCAGTTATCACAAAATTAATAGCTGTTTATCATATGAATACAGTGGAAGCAAAAGATCAATGTCGATAAAGACATAAAACAAATGCATATTTTGTCCACATTTTAGTTTAGAAAAAGCAGCAGAGCATGTTTCTAACTTACCACCATACGGAGATAAATTTGCTTCACAGTTTCTACCAACTATTTGCTGTGGCCAATCTGAACCGCTATAGTTCATTGCAGTTGCCTTTACAAGTTCCTTGCATTGTTCCAAATTTAGGTCACCAACCAAATATGTAGAAGAAAATTGTGTTTTGTACATTTGAATTTCAGGTTTTCCAGATCATCAGTTACATTTAGCATAGCACAACCAGAACAAGTGTAATTTTGCACAAAATCAGAACTGAGACAAGGGTGCCTGAGTTCAAATCTGTTAGTGGTATTTCCCCTGTCCATTTGATTTTGGCTGAGCATGACCACTGACCGATCAAATGCCTCATTCAAACCAAATGCCGGTAATGAATATGCTAATATGTTATGCTTACTTGAACCAATATTTAATGTCATGACATTTTCGTTGTCATTCTCATCATCAGCTACTTCCACCACAACCTGCAATGATGAACCTCCTAGATCAAGAAGTCCAAAAGTAGATTTTTTCAAGGAATTCCCAAGGCTACCCATTTTGCTGTTTAGAGCAACCCAACCATAGTAGGCTTCTTCTTTCCCAGTCAGAACCCTTATCCAGTTCTTACTATACACAAAAGAGTGTTCCCTTACAACAATCTCTATATCATCCAAAACCTGCTTAGCATCCCTGGTAACCAACCTTCTCAGCCCAGCAGTAGCTAAAATAATAATAGGAGTATCTCCATGTCTTTCATGAGGTACCGTCTGCTCTGCCCATGCAGTCAACGGTTCTAAAGATGCCCTCACTCCTGAAGAATTACCAACAAATTTGTCTAAACCAGGCTCAGTCTGCATGCAATGGTAGTGGCAAGATTTTTTCCAAAGTGGACTCTTGGTCAAATTATCTGGATAAGAATGCAACAAATAAGGCAGGCCCTGACTAATAAAACCTCTTTTCTCCCACTCAAATACGTTCACTCGTGTTCCAGTGCTTCCACAATCCACCACAACAGTATAATATGAACTCTCTGATACAATTCCAGCCTTCACAAAATTAAATGATAAATAAACACCAGTAGATGATAACAGAATGAGAAAGCAAAAAGAAAAAACTTTCAAGACTCGTTTCCATGGATTGAATTCCTTAACTGAGAACTTAAATTTGGAAGGCGATTTGGGTTCCATTTGTGAACTATCACCACAAAAAATTCCAGATTCTAGGTTCCAACAACCTTTGCAACTGCTCCTTTTAGAAATTCACTAATCATAATATTAACATAAATAAGCTTCCACAATTTTCAAAATAAATGAACTAAACATAAACAGGTCGATTACCCGGTTCATAATCAAATCCTACAACTTTAAATTTCCTTTTTGTCTCAAAAGATGGGAATATTAAAAACTTTCAATTTCTTCTCTTGCAAAAGATCAATCACAAGTGCCTTCCTTGTTTCATTATAAATTGTCTGTCAGACAACGAATTTCAAGAGTATTAGAGCTACGGAATCTTATCTAAAGAATCAGAGATCAAGATTGAGAACACATGTATAAAGAAAACAAAATCTGAAAGTCCGAATAAATGTACCTTAATTATTGTGAGTTTTCTAAAGAACCCGACCCATCACTCCATTTCTGTTTGTGGCTGCCTTTGTAAGAAATGGGAGTAAGAGATCTTAGAGGAAAGTCAGCGCAGAGAATGAATTGATTCCCGGTGTGATCCCGTGCGGCAGTGCAGGACATGGGACACATATAAATAAATTAGTAATTAAAATAATTAAAAATGCTTTAAAATAGAAATTAAAACAATATTTTAATTTATATAAATAAATTATATTCAATTTTTTAATACAGTAAAAGGATTTATTACGAAAATTATTGAAATTTAATATTGAATTATATTTTAATACAAATTTATTATCTTATAAATCATAATGAAACATTTAACAATTGGAATTTTTTTTTTTTTTGAAAAGGTAAAATCTAACAATATACATCAATATTGCATACTATACATTTTAAGTCAATAATCTCCATTTTAATGAAAAATAAAAAAAATCGATTAAGAGATAATTAGGGATACTAATTAAAGATTACTTAACTATTTTTTCTTTAAGTTATAATTATAATCAAATATAATTATATTAACTAATTAATTGAATAATTAATTATCGCATTATAATAAATTATTGTTATTGAATAATTAATTAACAAACTCAAATATAATTAAATAATCAAATTCACACATGATAAGATCTGAATCTAAAATCTCACTAAATTATTTTTTTAAAACTACACTTGACACATTATTTTTATTAAATATAAAAAGAAATAATGCATTAGGTGATATATTCATGAAAATCATATCCATGCTTACTTAATTACATTTTTTTAAATTACATCTGATACATTGTTTTTATTAAATTTAAAAAGAAACAATGTGTTAGGTGATGTATGCATGAAAATCATATTCATGGTTAACTTTTTTTTTTAATAACAAAAATATAATTTTTGAGACTTGGGATTAAAAATCAGCTATTTGATATAGGATAAAGCAAACGCTTGGTTTGGATATTTTGATTCAAAATTTTTTACAATTGACTAAATTAATTTAATCTTTAAGAATAATTGAATCAACTGAATAAAATTATGATAGTTAAAAATAATCAAACCAAATTAATTTAGTATGTTCGATCAATTATTTTAGTTAGGTTTTAATAAATCATAAAATAATTATTTTTTAATTTTTTTAAGTAAAGGCATTTGAATGCCCAATAATGGCATTCAATTGCTCTAGACTATTCTCAAACAGAATGTAAACTCTTGTTTAGTATTCGAGTTCTTTCCTCAAAACATTTCACTACACTAGGCAATTTTTCACATAAAATGTAATTTTCATCAAATAAATTAACTATCCTTCTTAAGTATTCAATTGCCTTAGATAAATTTTTACACAGAATATCTATTTTTTAAAATTATTTAATTATTTTTTATTTTCTCCATCGATTTGATTTCCAAACCCAAACCTGTAAAACCAATCAATTTACTTGCTTAAAACTAGTTTTCTTATCGACTTGAAGTTT